CGGTACTCAAAGCCTGCATCTCAGTATATACCATGGTAGGAAGGCCCAAACAGAACAGAGGGAGGAAGAGACTGGGATCTCGGGTCAAGTAAACCCCAGAGAGCCCTAGTCAAGTGTCCCCCATCCAGCACTCCGCTCTCAGAGCCTGTTGAGCCCAAAGCTGCATCCTTCAGCCTCTGCACAGAGCTCCGACTCCCTCCCCACCTGTGGCTGAGCCGCCCCCTGCTGTCCTTCAAGACTTCTTCATTGTACTCTCCCCTGACAGGTGGCCCTAGAACAGTCACACACACACTATGCCTGCCCCCAGCACTAGCTCCATGAGCCACAGGGGAGGACAGCTGCCCGAAGCCCCTCCAGGAGCCCAGAAGAGGGGCCAAGCGTGTGTGAGATGCATCAGTACCAATCCCTCACTGACGCTAGAACCGTTATCCATGGAGAAAATGACCAAATTTCCCTCTGCGGAAGGGCAGCCGCGAACAGCCCGGCTAGGGCCCGTTCCCACCAGGCCCGGCTGTGTTCAACAGTTTAATCAATTAGTGAGATGCAGCCTCGGTGTCAGCTGCAGCGCTAATGAGGGTTCCCCACCCCCACCCGTGGGACCCACAGCCTGCTCTAGTGCTGGGCAGGTCCTGCTGGGCAGGCGCAGCCCCAGGAATGGATCTGGAAGCCTGGCCCTGTGGCTTTGCTGGCTGGCTGGCCGTGGTACCTGACCGTCCCTGCAGCTTTACTTCCTGACCCACCTCGGCTTCAGGCAGGTCTTCCCTGTGGAGCCCAGCCCACATGACAGCTGGGAGGGATGAAACCTCACTATGTAGACAAGGACACAGAATTCCCAAGGAACACAGGTTGCAGAGAGGCAGGGTGAGCCAGCGTGCCCACTGCTACCTCATCAAGTGCACACACGTAACCCATGCACACACGCATGCACACTTAAGACACACACACACACACACACACACACACACTGGGAGGAGGGAAACGAGGTGAGCCCCTTCACATATATGCACACTGGCTACAGGGCTGTCTTCTACTTCCAAGCTGTGATAAAGTATGAGCATAAACATAGATAACCAGCATTTCACACACGCTTTCAGGGGTTGCGTGTGCCTTGGGCCAGTGGGTGCCCCCAGCCTGGTCAGCCCCACACTCAGAAGAAGCCCTGTAGCACAATGTTCTATTGTACATCTGGAGACAGAGGTCTGACACAGGTGGAGGTGGCCAGAGACAGGTGTAGAGGGCAGATCCTATGTCTCTGGCAGCTTCGGGAGCACCGGTGCTGCATTCCGAGGCCCAGGCCTTCTCTGGTTCTCTCAATACTGCATCTCTGTAGGCCTCCCTGCCCACCTCTTCTGTTCTGCAGGACCCAACGATGATATGGGCCCACAGAGGATGCAGACTCATCATCCACCTAATGAGTAGCTGTCGCCACCTTTGCTGTGAGGCTCAGAGGATCAGGAGAGGACAACAGGATGGAGCAGACAAGAGAAGAGATTCAGGTCATAAGACATGGAAACATGGTCACTGGAAATCAGAGAAATGCACACTGCCCATGGGAGACCCCCAGTGAGCAAGCATTCTTCTCAGAACTGATGCCAAAAAGCAGAGGAGTTGCTGCAAATCTAGAAAAGGGCCTGGGGTTGCACCCCTTCCTCTAGCCACCTTCTATTTGCACTCCCAAGGAGACCCCAAAAGCAAAGAATGAGGGGTGGCAGAGCCAGTCACATGGTTTGGGGTGGGCAAGGGTTGTTGGTGGCAAAACTAGGGACTTAACTCTGGTCCAAGCCAGGAGCCACGCCAGCTTGACCAGCACAGGGACAGCTGATGTGGCCAGCACAGGTGACCCGCCAGCAGAATCACTGGTCCTGCTGCCTCTGACCCTAGGACAGGACATGGTTGCTCCTGCCTTAACAAGACCTATAGCCCACAATAGCACAGGCAGCTCCAGAGTCCAGCTCAGCTTCAAAACCAATGGGATGTATATTTTACATATTTCTCTCGGAAAAGATGTGGCCTCTGAGAGGCTGAAGGTCCTTGCTTTTCCCTGGCCCTCATAGTGGCCACAGACCACCTCAGTGCCCACACCAGTGGTGCCCTAAGGTATAAGGACCCTGCCTCTGCACACCAGCCACATGGGCCACCTGGGGCCTCTGCAAGGTGTGCGTGACCTTTCCCAGCTCCCACTGCACCTCCCTGTGATGCCCAACTGGGCCAGCACAGGTAACCTGAGTCCTTGGATCCCTACTACTCACACTCTCCATCCCTGTTTCCTCCCCTTCTTTGCCTCCTAGGATTTACTTATCACCAGGCTCAATGGTGATGGCCACCCATCTGCCCTGAGAAGGGCAGGTCCCCTTACTGAGTACCCCTAGGTATCCTGCCCCAGCTCATACCCATGGGGCCAGCTCCACATGGAGCTATCAAGGACAGGACCAGGATTCCTACACTAATGGCTCAGGCTTCCTGATCCCAGTGCACCACATGACAGGTATGAGAGGTGGCCCTGCCTGGACCCATCCCACCCAGTTCTTCTGGGCAGCAAACAGGGCCAGGGCACAACTGAGGACAATGTGGCCTGCAGGAACCTGAATCCTTGGGACATCCAGTAAATGGAAAGAATCCAGGGCCACCATCTGCTTACATCCCCAAATTCCATCTCTTTGACACATTCCCTGCCCAGAGGGATCATGGGGCGACGAGGAGGGGCTGCCTGAAGATCGAGGTGGGGAGGAGGCAGCCGGCAATCTTTCCCCAGAACCAAGCTGCTTAAGCCAAGTTCCTCTGCCCTAGGATCATGGTAAGGTACCCAGTGCCTCTAAGAAGCCTCGAGCCTGGGCCAGGTACACGCCTACTCCAGGAGGACCTCACCAGGGACACGCCCGAGCTGGGCAGACAACAAGTGAGGCTTGGCTCCACATGTAGGAGAGAAGATAATCATGGCAGCCTCTGCTGCTTCCTACAGTGGAACAGCTCAGATGTAGGGGAGCGACAGTGCTGGGAGGGACCAGTGGGGGTAGAAGTTGGGGGCAGGGGACAGAGCTGGGAGGCAGGGAAGCTACGGGGAAGCACAGCATCTGTAGCATACTTGGGGAAGGAGGAGATCCACTGCTGGAGGACCACAGAATGACTCCCATCCTCCACCCATTGACAGACTGTGCAAGCTTCATGCAGCACCCAAAGAGGCAGTCCAGCCCCAGAAGGGAGCAGATGGCATGCAGGGGTCACTGGGGACCCACCCACAGGTCCCCTGGTGACCCTCCCTCCAGTGGTGGCTTCCCCAGGAGGAGTTGGTGAAGGGCAGAAGCTGTTGGATGAGGTAGAAAGGAAGTGGTGGGTGGCAGGAGCGATCTGCTGGACATGTGGATCTCCTGGCTCCACCTGAACTCCAGGAGCCAAGGCCATGGAAGATGCCAATCTTCACCAACCTGTGGGGTTGGCACCTCCCATGGCCTCCTGGATCCAATGCTCAACCCTGGCCTGGCTTCCAGAAGGAGGGTATTTCCTCCCATCCAAATCCTGCTCCCTCCTGACCTGTGGGCAGGCCAACCCTCTGGTCTCCCCTGGAGTGTCTTCAAACCGCCAGTTTTCCAGGGGACCTTCATCCCCCTGTAAGGATAGCAGACTGCCAGACCTGCCATTCCTGATCCACAACTTCCTCCCCAACCCCACTGGTGCTGCAGAGAAAGCAGCAACCAGGAGGGCTTCAGGTCCCTCCTCCAAAGCCTGTCCCCTCTGGGCTGTGACCCATCCTACTGGCAGTGTCATAATCACCAGCCACAATGGGGCTTGGCCCGGCACGAACCATCCTGCCTCATGCCCTTGCCCCACAAGCACCTGCTCCCTGTTGTAACCTGTGGGAACCTGCAGACCTGGGCTGGCACAATCTGAGCTGGTATATGCCTGACCTTAAGTAGGCCTGAGCTGACACACACTTGTGCGGGCAAGTGAACTGATGACCAGTGCTTCACAGTGTGAGGCTGGCAGGGTGCTCAGCAGCTACCCAACACTCTCTCATCCCCCCTTGCACTCAACCTCCAGACAGGAAAAACTGTCTGATTCACAAACGAGCACACAGATGGGGTCTGGTTACCTCTCACTCTCAGGATTCCCTATGAGGTGAATAGCCCCCAGCCCGTTTTATGTCTGTCTATAACCTTTGCATGTGACTTCAGCTGGAAATGGGGTCTTTGCCGGTCGGATGATAAGGTCTTGGAGTAGGCCCTGACTCAGGGACTGTGTCTTTATAAGAATGGACAAATGTGGACCTGGGCACACTCAGCAGAGGAGCCCTGGGACTTAGAGACAGACTGGAATAACTGGTCACAAGCCCTGACACCTGGAGCTACCAGAAGCCGGAAGAGCTTCCAGGGGAAGCACAGCCCTGCCACACAGATTCTGGATTTTGGCTTCTAAAACTGAGAAAATACCCACACCTTGAGGTGCTTCATTTATGGTGATTTGTTACAATAAGCACAGAACCCTAACACCCTCAGAGGTCATGGGGGCCACTGACCCTGGCTCAGACCAGGACCTGGTTGTCCCAAGATGTGGGCTTGGGCATTCGGGGAATTAACAGAAGGAGACTGGGCAGTGCTGAAGGTGACAGTGATCAGCAGGAACAAGGCAGGGGAAGAGTGACTGAGGCTAGACAGCAGTCTCTGGATGTGTCCAACAGGGGCCCCACAGGCCCAGAAAGGAAAGGCCTGAGCAGATGCCCTGCTGACCCAGTGGAGAGAGACCCCACTGCGGTCAGACCCTGCGGCTTGGGAAGCCCACAGCACCTGAGCTTCTTCACACAGCAAAACCCAAACAAGACAATAACAAAAGAGAGACATACATATTTGGCCCCATAAATTCTGATCACAATAACAAAAACTCTGAAGGGTATGCAGATTCTCACTGACCGCCCTGTGCACCCCAACCTGGCACCTTATCAGCATCCTAAGCTCATGCAGGGGCTTAGGGTGATCTTAAAACAGCATTAAATGGTACACCAACACATCTTCAGACATAGGAATGTTTCCTATGGACATTCTTTTTTACAAAAAAATAATAACTTAGTTTGCATTTTACAGCATTTCCAATCAGTCAGGATGTCCGTGGCTGGGATCTTGTGGGGTCGGAGCAGCACGTACCTCCACAGCCAGAGCACCAGGCCAGAATACCACCTGGCCCACAGCCCTAGCTTACAGCCCCCAGCGGCCAGCAGGAGTTCATCAGGAGAAGGTGGGCAGCACCCAGGCCCATGGTCACTCTGTGCCAATCTCACAGGGGTTCAGCCCTCTCTCCTCTGCATCCCTGTACATCCTTTGGAAGTCACTGAAGCGAGGGGCACAGCCAAGCTGTGCCTCCCCAAAGTGCATATGACCAGTGAAGAGGAAGTCCCCATGGCCCGGCCGCACACCACACTCCAGCAGCGTTGTGACGTGGCCCTGCCAGTGTCCATTGCCCTCTGGAGCCGGCTGGAAGACCCTGCTTTTCTGCCGGTAGAGTCTGCTCACCCGCAGGTGAATGACAGACTCCTGGCGTTCTGGTTCATGGATGACATCCTGGATGGAGCCTCGGACAACTGCAGAGGAGACAGACAAAGGGTCAGTGGAGTCGAGTGGGCACTGCCAGCCAAGGACAGTAGTACATGTCGCCCTGTTCATGGCCCCAACTTTCCAGGGGAGAACAAGAAAATATGCAGGCCAATAGCAAGATGCTTGGCAGCTCTGTCACATTAGGCAACAGGGCAGCTGAGAGGACAGGGTCATACAAGGAGAGGGACAGAGAAGGGCTGGTATTGGCAGCTCCAACAGGACCATACCCAGAGACCCTGCCACAGCTCTAGAGCCCAGCCCAGGACCCAGAAAGCAGAAAGGAGCCCAACCCATCATGCAGTCCTTGGAGCTGTATCAGAGTCCTCTTAAGAACTCAGAGCTGGGGCATCCCAGGCCTGGTCTAACACGGCACCATCATGGCAGCAGGCCAGTGAGCCAGGTTCTCCAACCCAAGCCTTCCCCTAAGTGCTATGCAAACCACAGGCAAGGCTTTCTCATTCCTCAGACCATGGCCCTGAGCTGTCTAGCACTTCAAAACACCAGCCACCAGGGGACCTGGAGGAGGGACTGAAGCACCTCCAAGGTGACAGCCAACACAGGGGTGCCCCAGGCTGCCCGTGGAGTCACCTAGAATATCAACCCTACTTCTCTATGTACATGTGTGTGTGCATGTAGGCCTGTGACAAGTGTAAGGATGTGGAAGCATGTGTATGTCCTCATGGGTTTGAATGTTGGTTTGCGAGGATGTGTATACAGGCACCTTTTCCAGTGACAGGGAAGGCCACACCCACAGCTTCACAGTCCTATCCCCTACGAGGAAGTTCAACGCCAGTTCTGGAAGGCTCTTCTTGTGCACAAAGCAGGAACCGTGAGCACATGAGAAAGACATCATGAAGGCACACTTACCAAAGTCACTGGTGCAGACGGCGAGGAGGACTTCAGTATCACTGCAAGGGCGGCAAGGGGCTGAAGAGGAGAGAGCACGGTCAGTACACAGCCCGGACAGCGGTGGGCCCCGGATGGTGCCCTCCCAGTTGTAAAGGGTAGGCAGCCACAGACCACCCTCAGCCTGACACCCTAACCTACTCTTGACAATCACTCAAAGCTGTGCTCAAACCTCTGTGGCCAATACTACGCCCACAGTGTCAGGCCATACCCTAGAGGAACCACACAGAGCAAGAGAGCCCCACCATGCAGGCTCCTCAGCTTCACCAGGACCAGAGAGCTCACAGAGCAGCAACCACCCTAAAAGCAAGACTACAGGACAGGCAGCTGCACACCTGCTCCCGCTTACCTTGTTAACAAAGTCGTGCAGATAAGCAACACTCCACTCACTTAAAAATCATTCTTATGTGCCCAGCACACATGAAGCCATCTCCATGCTAAACTGAGATGGTCTGTCCCTCACAATGCCCAACAAACTCACCCACACCCAGCCTCCACATCCATATACCAAAAAGCTGGACCACTTCAAGGATGTCAGAATCCTTACAAAAGAAGACCCCGCCCACAGCGTCGAGATGCCTCCTTTTCTAGATCCATCTGCAGCTACAACCCAAGAGGAGGGTTCCATCTGCCAGGGCTCAAAGACTACCTAGGAAATGCACCAAGGCCAAGACTCTGAAGGAGACTGTGCCTGCCTGCCCTGGACCTGAGGCCTCTGGTCAAGACCATGAGCTTAGCCCTCTCCTCAGCAGCACCCAGACACTTTTCCAGCTCAGCTGTGTCCACGGATCCTACTCTGAGGCTCCTGTAACTTCAGGGCCTTTTGTCTCCAGAACTCAAGGTGCCAAGTCTGTTCACAATGAGTCCCATGCTGGCCAAAACCAGACTTGCACAACACACATCTCCCAGGGTGGCTCTCAGCCTGCTCTTCACCCCACTTCCATAGATGTGAAACAGAAACTCCAGACCCTGCAGCTTTTTGCAGACTTCAGTCTCACTATGTCCCAGGGCAAATCCAGGAAAGTGTGGTCACACCACTTGCTCTTCCTGCAGAGCTCAAGCCTTCTGCCTCACCTGTCTGAGTAGGCCACAGTTTTCCTAACTCACTAGAAGGTTGGCAGTGTGAAATCTCAGTGAGACAAGTTTCCCCTTCATGTGCCTGTCTGTAAGGCTTGGCAGCCCTCTCCTCAGGGTGCTCTGGAAGAGGCTAATACCATCTGCACATCTGGTCATCCACCCTTACCACCCTGAGGTGAGTGAGGCAGAGCTGACACCTGCCTGGCAGCTACATAGACTCCATATGAGTGCTGGTGACTCAGGCCAGGGGGACAAGGTGGAACACAGGCCAGTACCTTGGCCACAGCAAAAAGGCCAAACATTTGTAGCAGGAGCTCAGAGAGGACCTGGAAGTACCCAGCCCCCAACCTGTATACAGCATTAATGGAGTGGAGACCATGCCCCAGGGTCTGCAGCCCTCCTGGGCAGGCAGGTTCTGAGAGCTCTGGCCTTCTGTCCTATCCTAGCTGGCAGGGACAGACACCTCCCACCACCCCAGGCTGTGCACTTGCTGATTCATGCCCCACCCACCACCTGCCAGCACCTCTGCTTCTATTCAGTTATCAGAAAAAGGAGAAGCCACAGAACAGGAAGAACCTGTTGGCCCCGCTCTCTGCTCATCAGAGGACTGCACCCCCACCCTACCTCCAATCTGTAGCCTTTCACTGACAGGTCTGGAGCCCCTCTGGTGGCCACCCCAACCTGGCTGGTGGGAGATCCTCTCCTTCCTGTGATATCCTCTTAGCCACACTGCATCTCTCCATGTGGGTTTGCCCAGTTGGCAGGGGGTCTCCTGCCCAGCTGGGGTGTGCCCTCCATTGCCAGCTGTTCACCACCCCAGGCCCATAAGCACTGTGGGCATCAGTGTACTCATGTTTTGGGTGGCATCTTTATTCAGGACATGAGACTTTGGGGAACCTTCCATCCTGGCTGGTGCCTGCTCAGTGCCATGGAGTTGGAGCTCTGAGCCCAGGGTCCCCCATGCAAGTGGAGGCAGCCAGGGTGACAACAGCATGGGTGAACAGTCAAGCCCACAGTGACCACAGCCCACCTGGCAGCGCTGGGCAGGAAGCCTCTGGGCCACACAGTCCTGAGGCAAGAGAGCAGTGATCCCCAGGAGCTACCCAGAGATAATGAGCCCTGCGCTATGGCGGACATCATAGGCAGATGAGCCAACAGCCCCAAACATGCCCCAAGACCAGGTCCCAGGCTGTAGTATACAGCAGCAGCCACACCCTCAAGCTTCACCCTCCCTTGAGTCACATGCCCTGGGACTTCTGCAGGACACTGGGGACAAAGTGTGGAGATTCTCCCCTCACCAGAGTTCAGCTTGCCCTGGCTCAGGCCCATCCACCCCCAGAAGGCATGGGCCCTGGAGGGCAGTCTGTAGCCAGAGACCGCCAGGCCCCTGTAAGCCACACCATCACCAGCTGAGCTAACAAAGCGCCACCCTGGAGGTGTCTGTCTTCAATTCTGAGCTTCAAAGGGCACAGGTCACCTTCATGGAAAATTCAGTGTGGACTCCAAGGATGGCAATCTGGAAACAATCATTAATCAGAGCTGGGCTCCTTGGGGCTGTGGAATGTGCTGGTCAGGCACACATGGCAGTGTGTTTCCAGGGCTGAAGGTGGAAGCTTTGGAATTGCTCAGCAAAGCGTGTGAGACTGAGTGAGGGGAGAGTACCGCCTCAGAAGGGCCATCAGGGAGGGCAGGTGCCAGTGGGGAGCATGGTGGTGCAGCGAGGGTGAGCAAGCAGGAGTGGCTGCACATGAGAAGCTGGCCTGCCAGTATGGAGCACAGGACGAACGGGTGAGAGCTGCCCGGGCAACACACCCAAGTTCCAAAGGGAGACTCCCACAGCACAGCCTGCTGGGGTCAGCAAAGCAGGGCACCAGGTGGAAGCAATGAGCCACAGGTAAAGGGGAGCTGGGGCTCCCTGGAAGTCTGCACTAGCTGGGAAGCACCGGGATGTGAGGGCCGCTGTGCCAGCCCCTGTATCCTCACCTGCTCTCCAGCCATGTTGGCGTCCCTCTCGCTTCCCAGGCAGGAAGTGGGTGGATGCTAGACCCTCCCTGCCCCAAAGCTGAGAGATGGTAAAGATGAAAGACAATCACAGGATAATTGCAGCAGCCTAAGATAAGTCCCCTGAAGCCAGAAAGGAAACAACCAGAGAAATGGGAAGCTCAGGGAAAGAATCTAGCTTCTTCAGTTCTAGGCTTCAGTACTAACCAGGCTGGTTGCTCAGGCTCAGCAAGCAGAGCAGGTTTTAAAGGGGATGGGGGTGAGGTAGCCAGGGCTAGGGCAACAGTGACTTCAGCATCAGTGTCCTCTCCTCTTCCCTCTATCATATGCCTGAAATGCTGCTGTCCCTGACCTGACTGCCTGCTAAAAGCCCAGAGCACACAGGGAGCTGTGCCACAAGTACCCAAGATGTCATCCTGAGAAACAGAGTAAAATCTGCAGGTCCATTTGTGCCTCTTCCCTGCAACCAAATGAGGTTCCGAGCCTTACTAACCACCCCATCACCACAGTCTATGGGTGATAATCATTTCCCTGGGTGGCTGGGCCTGGGCACATGCCAGACAACCCCACCGGCCCCTTGTCCTGGACTTGCATCTGTAGTTTTTTGTGGCTGTGTTTGTGTCCTGCCAGATTCTTCAGGTACTGGAGGGAGTATACATTGCTCAGGGACCCAAGCAGCAGAGATGAGAACATAACCTACTGGGTGGCAACCAAATCCCCATGCTGTGGACCAGCGTCACCTCCCACCTGGCTCCTAACTTTATCACTGGATGAGCGGCCTGCCCCTCTGCTCTGGTCTTCTTAGCTACTGGTATGTCAGGGAAGTCAATTATGCTACACACAGGGACTCATAGTTACCTTTTGTCATGCAGAACTGTCCAAAGGGGCAGGCCTACTCCTGGCTATGTGAAGACCCAGGCTTGATTGTGCCCATGTGTCTGCTAGGCTTCAGCTCAAAGAACCTCTGCTCACTTGTGTTGGCACAAACTAGAACCTGTGCTTCCTTGGAGAGCTGGATCTCCTCCTAATGTGACCATTCAGGCCACGTACACCCTCAGCCTGCACTGTTGGAACTCCTGCTAGAACAGAAGACAAGGGAGACCCTGGTGCTGGCCAGAGAGAGATCGGAGCTGCCTGGCCTCAGGAGGACAATGTGGCTGCTGCCAGATGGCAGGCACCAACATTCCACATTATGTACCCATTCCTCAGGCATTAAAGGCTTAGCAGCCCCTATTCCCTGATCAAAGCCAAATACCCTAGGGAGAGGAGATGAGCCTCTCCAATCTCTGCGGCCCAAGGCCTTCAGGAAAGGCCCTGGAGGTGCTACTCCTCCAGGGGAGCAGGCATCTGTGCCTTGAAGGGGAGGGTCAGGTCCTGGCTCTCAGGGTACCCAATACAACCGAGGCTCTGTCCTACCCGAAGGTTTGATGATCTCTTCATGGCTGGGCTGCCTCAAATGAGCCTTTACCATTGGCAAGGTGCTTAGAACCCCTACAGGCTCAATTCTAACAGGCACAAGCCAGGGGGTGGTATGCAGTAGAGTAATGAGGGAACCCAACTCCCTCCTCCAAGACAGTCCTGGGCACAGAGCCAGTGTGACATTTGCCTATGCGGTTAAGGAGATGCACAGATGTCAGGGCCACCACCTCTCCGTGACCACACAGGAACCTTGGGCAGCTCAACCAACCCCACAGGCCTCAGTGCGCAACCTGGAAGCTGGTACACGCAGGGGCAGGGGTGGGAGATCTGTTAGTCTTCCCGGTTCACAAGCAGCACCTGGATTTGCAGGCACCTGGCTGTACAGGTGTGTGACACCCATTGTGCAGTGAAGGCAGACCCACCCAAAGGCTCTAAGAACCAAAGTCCAGGCTGCAGAAAGGCCACTGCAGTGGAACAGCTTCAGGCCAGCCCACCTGTCCCCAGTACAAGGGAGGCTTTCAGTTCCCTGTGTCTGCCCTGGCACTTTCTGCCTCCAGTTGAAAGGCTATCACTTTGGTCAATCTCAATGTGGTATTCAGGTCATTCCAGGTTTGTTTTCATGATGAGCTCATTTTCAGACCCTCAAGGCCAGGTGCATTCCTCCCCTATCGCTCCATCCACCCTGACCAGTGGCCCAGGTATCCCAAAAACTCAGATCCTGCTTGCTCACATCAGAGTTTTCTAGAAGAGATTGACACTGTCGATAGTGATACATGATACTTCGGCTTCCCCCTGACACACGGGAAGCACTTGCTCCTCTCAAAAAAAATAAAGAAAGAAAGAAAAGAAAAGAAAGAAAACCCAAAGCCAGGCCCCTGAAACCTGGCCTATCCACAGCCTCACCCCACCCATATAGCCTTGGAGGGAACTTCTGTCCAGAAGCTCATGTGGGTCCATACATCACACACTGGGATGAGGACTGGCATGGTCAGAGGTGGCCTTGTTGTCCCTACAAGGGGCTTCTCCTTTCCTGCAATCCCTGCCAGCCACCTGGCCACTCTCCCACTCACAGCCACTTCCTGGTGTCTCCTCTGTACACAGAAGCCTTCTCCCATAGGTCTCTAACTTGCCCTGCAGAGTGGGGTCAGCCCTACCTTCCACAAAGGCCCCATGTAGCTTCCTCAGTCCTGACAGTGTTCACCCACAAAACTCTCAGAACTAGACTCAGCCCCAAGTTCTGGGATATCACAGTCTTGTGCTGCTAGTAAACACTCAGGCTGATTGATGGGACAATCTGAAGGGTTAAAATCCCCCTCTCATATGAGTTATGACCAAACGTGAGGGACCAGGATCCTGGGCCACCTTGGAAGATGCTGTGCTCCCCCATGCACACTTCCTGAGGACAAACACTGTTCTGCAAGGTCAGACACACCAGGACCTAATGAGACCCACAGATTAACTGCAGTCTCTACCTGAAGGGGTTTTGGTGGAAAAGCCTAAATTTCAAAGGTGGTTTAGGTTCAAGCTGCAACTCCCCCCCAACTTCTCTAATGGGGCTATCTTCAGGAACTCAGGTGTTCCCTAGGCAATGGTGGCATGACAAAGGTGTCTTGTCCATGCTACAGACATGCAGTGCATTCCTCATACCAGCAGAGGAGGAACAGAAGAACCCTGGAGAGGTCTGGTGAGCCCAGAGTGGGCCTGCAACCACAGCACAGTGCACCCACACCACTTACCGGTCAGCACATGCAGATCCAGCGCCTGGCGCCCATTCATCAGCTCATACTGGAAGCCTGTGGCCCTCCTGCTGATGTCCTGCTGGGGCGTCGCCTCTACAAATAGGCCTCCTTGCTCCAGGCTGAAGCACTGCACCCGGCTGGGCTCACTGTCTCCATCCCGCACCAACAGTCTCAGTTCTCCAGTTTTTTCCAGATAAATATTAGCCCCCGAGGAGTCCCTGAAAGGCTTGATGCACACAGTCAGGTGTCGGGAGGGTGAGAAGGTGTTAGGCCTCAGGTTCACAATGAGCGCCCCTGTTGGATACATCCACTCCACAGAGCCGGCTGAGCAGCGCAGGTACACCTGCTCCACCTCCTTCTTGTGTGCTTCATGTGTCAGCCCACTGTGGAAAAGGGACAGAGTCAGCCAGAGCCTGGGGCCCAGACTCCTAGCACCCACACACTTAGAGCAATTCCACTGCCCAATTGGGCACCCCTAGCCCTCTAGGGGTACAAGGCAGGGTCCCTCTTCTGGGAGGAGGGGGTGTGTGCCCAGTGACAGTCAGCTCTGCACACTCCTCCCCCAAGATCCTCCCAGTGAGGCTGCTCCAGCACCGGGGTGGGGTGAGCCACAGCTCTGACACACACCCCCGGTGGTATAGGTGCCTCATACCTTCACAGCACCCTGACCTGCAGCTTTGATCTCAAGTCTCAGTGCATCTGTGACAGGGACACAGAGGCTCTAGGAACAGTGGAAATGAGAAGCAAAGACCTGCTGGGTGCTTTTGAACCCCAAGGAAGCACTGTAGGACTTTGGCACCAACCCCTGTTGAACCAGGAGGCCTACGCAGTCAGGGGAAGGACAGTGCAGAGCCCATGGACATGGGTGATGACGAACCTCAGGCGCAGGGGCACTGTAGGTGCAGCCAAGCTCCAGCACCCCTCCTCGCAAGCTGGGGCTGTCAGCTATGAGGGTGAGCACCATCTTCTTACACCCAACTTATTCAGTGGTGGTCAGGCATAAATATATTTCCCTTAAGGTGATGACTTGACCATTTTTCATTCATTTACAAGCCTGAAATTCCTACACCTTCAATTGTATTATCAAAAATAAATTCAAATGCAAAATAGCTCATTGGACTAAACACCTGCTTCCCTGGCAACACATGCTGCACCAGCCCCACCCCTGGGTGCACTAAGCCAGCGACCAGGTCCAGGCATGGTGGTGCATGCCTATAATCCCAGTGCTGGAGAGGCTGAAAACAGGAGAATCACTACAAGTCCAAGCTGTGTAGTGAGACCATGTACCAAATACATAAAAAATAAATAAAATAAAAAATTCAAGTATCATTAAAGCAAAATCCAGTACAAGCACAAAGGCATATCCTCTCAAGGGTGGGAGACAAGGCTGAGGACAAGGACTAAAGGGAACCCCTGAAGTAAAAGGATGATCTTGCACCTCCTACGCTCTGAATCGGAAAAAAAATGCATAGTGTGTGTTTATTCATCCTTTGCTCACTCCTGCTGAGGTAGGTCCTGAGAAAGATAGTTGTTTTCAAGAAATTGAAACCACCAAGAACGTTGACGTTTCTACTGCAGGAACTTTAATGTAAATGCCAGCCTGTCGCTCATGGTTACGTCATAACCACAAGTGGGCCTGACAGTGTGCTAGTGACTTCAGCCCAGTGTTTTATTACATGAAATTCGGTTCTGATCAGATCTCAGGTTCACCCACATTCTTGAGATTTTTATGTGAAATAAGCAACACTATATCGAGTCCTAGTCTGAGTGAGTTACCAGAAACATTTCTGCAGAGGAGAAAATGTATAACATATGGTTCACATTCACTGCTGGTGACTCATGTTCTGGGCCCCCAAAACCTCACGCCTGAGATGAGGTTGGTTGCAGGCTGGCTGCTCAGTCACCCTGCCGACCACATCAGAAGGAAACACAGAGGGCGAACCCCTTGACCTGCTCCCCACCCCCACAAGGTCCTGGGTCATGAGCAGCCAGCCTGGCTGCAGATGTTGGCAGGGCCCCACACACAGAACAAACTGACAAAATTACAGGCAATAAAACTCACACAAGTTCACCTGACACCTATGAGGGACGGGCATAATTATAGTGCTGGGTGAAAATTAAACTAAATGGTGAGTGGCTGCCACACATGCTTATAATCAGCTCTGTCCTTCTATAGTCAAAACCTGATTGTTCTGTCCCTCCTCCCATCAAGGAGCAGCTGACACTTGTCCCCACAGAAGCACGATCTTCAACTCGCTCCCCAATATGAACCATCCAGGCTGAGGTTCTGCTTGCTCCTTGGAGGCTCAGGGGGTACGGACCCACATCAGAGACTCACAGACCTCTGACAACACCACATGCCCCTGGTGGGAAGGGGAACAGGGTCACCAGCCCCCTATACCAGCTCTGGGCTTTCTGTAGGCCAGAGAAAGAGGTGACCATCATAGCCCCCACTGCAGCCAACATGGGAGGGTCTCCAAAAGGATGCAAAACTCAGGTGGGCCTCTGAGAAATGGGGCACCTGTCACCTCACCTTTGTTGATGTCTTCAACAGCCCAGAGAAGAGCCCACACTCTTCCCAGACCAGTGGTTGTAGCATCTCACTTTCTAAAACATCACAGTCAATAAGAACCCAAACAGGTGTTCAGCACGGGAGTGCTCCCACTAAAATCTGCATTGTGTGATGCACAAGATACCCTTTGAGATAGCTACTGAGAAAAGGCAAACCAAGGAACCCCTCAGCTGGATAATTAAAGATCTTTGGTGGAGTCAAAGTCTGTACTGTGCTGGTTTGTACCTGAATACCTGGTACTCCAAATCTCTCACCTCAAATATCCAACCCCGCAGCAAACCTAAAAAAAAATCTCTTCAAAGTATCTATGACTGGGAATGTGAATCATTACTGATTACACTAATCATATTGTGTGTGTGTGTGTAAGTGTGGTGCCGGGGATCAAACTTAAGACCTTGCACTTGCCAGGCAAGTGCTTATGGCACTGAGCTATATCCCTGGCCTCCACTAATCATATTTTACCATCTTTACAAGGTGCAGGTGATGCACTAAGCACTGCTCTGACGAAGCTGCCGGATGTAGGCAGAACTGTGGTTCTAATCTACCTCATGGAACTCACAAGGCTGATATAATTACACATTAATTAGGCTGAATTAAGGCTTTAAAAAAAAACTCAGCAATGATGTGTAGGTGGACAGACCTGTGTGCTTTCATGGAAGGGAAGGTAAATCTCACATTGGTATGGGGCAAAGCATCAGTGAGGGGCCAGCTTACACACCACTCCCACCACAGCCAGGCACGCCTAAAGCCAGCAGGGCAAGATGTTGGTCTCTGGTTTACTGAAGTTGGGAAGAGCTTCAGAGCCAGGGTGAAACCTAAAGGCTCTGCTGACAAGTAGTGCTTTTCATTTCCTCAGCTGGTAAGAGGCAGTCCAAGTGTGAGTGTACCTCCCACAGCCCCTAGTTGATGGCAGTGGCAAAGTTCAGGGTCCATCTTTATGGCCCTGGCTCATAAAGATGGGGTGCTGGTTCCACCCTTCCAAAGGGAGAGGCATTGCAAAATCTCCAGCGTGATCGCTTAGAAACACCTCAAAGTCTTAGCGCATCAAATGTGAGTGGCCAGTGTTAGAAAGCAGCTCCCTTCCTATCAGGATCAGAATCTCGCTTATCTCAGCACCCTCCACCTAGAACTGTCTGTAGAACAGCTCCTAAAATCATAAACGGAGTTAGTCCCCTGACACAAAGTAGCCCCCTGACAGTGAGTCAGCTGGGGGCAGAGATGTACTCATCAGTAGGGCCAGACCCCAAGGCAAGGTGCCTTTTTAGTGCTGCAGATGACAGTCAAGCTCCACAGTCCAGGCAGCTGCCCTTTGAAACCCAGCCAGCTCTGCCTCTGAGAGAGGGCCCTGGAAGGAGTCGCTGGGAGGAGCGCTAGTCTCTCTGGGCTTCCCCAGGCCCTACAGGAGGATGTGCACACACCTGGGGCACACCCCCACCACCGCACTGCTGGAGCAGACACTGGCCCGCCCCTGAGCTTCAGGGAAGGAAGGGGTGCTTGCAGGCACAGTGCTCTGAAACCTGGAAAGGCAGTTGGCTTACAGGAAACTCAGGCTCACAGGACAGGGACTGGGTTTGTTTTTGATCTGCTGGAGCAGGTCACCCCAAGGCCTTGGGTTGGGTGTTGGTTGATTCACCAGTGGAGCTTCAAGCAGGGACCTTAATTACTGTGGTAGGAGAGGACAGCCCCAGCAGAGGCGTCAGAGTCAGGGGCTGCAGGCCAGCTCTGTGCTGGCGCCAGCATTCCCGAGGCCAACCCTCCTCCAGAGCTCCATCCGCCCTCAGCTTGCCCTGCTCTCGCAGGCAGGGGGGCTCTGCACAGAGGAACTGAAAATTCCCAAGAGGTGGACAGTGCCCAGATCTCAGGAGTCGGACTCAATCCTTCCATCCACCCCCACCCATTGGCAGGAGCCCTCTAGGGTGAGTGAATGTGGTCGCTGTGCTTTCAGAGAACTGTGTGCTGTGAGTGTCCAGGATGACCAGCATGCCCAGCTGACGCAGAGCCCCTCCCAGGCTCACCTCCCACCCTGCTCGGAAAGCTGGCAGCAACCACAGCGCCAGCGCCGCCCCCGCCCCGGTGTGAGTCGTCCAGGCTGCAGTCTGCCCATCGAACCAGGCTGGGGTGGGGTGGGCGCCCGCCTGTGGGGACCTCCAACCAGGCCCGAGGGCACCCCCAGCGCATCCGCGCACAAACTGCTTAAGTGGCAACGTCCGAGGCACAAAACCCGCCCTCGAAGGGCAGGGACCCTCGCCATGCCCGGCGCCCTCCGCGCCTGGCTTTCCGGCACCCCGCCCGCGCGGACTCGCGACTTGAGACTTGCGCTCCTTTCTGCTGTCACACTTCAGTTAAAGAAAAGAAGTGCTGGGCTGCCACCCCGGCGGGGAGGAGGGGTCGCGGGACCCGGCGCGGTGGCCAAGGGCGGCCTGACCTTCACGGGGCGGAGTGGGGGAGCTTGGGCCGCGTTCCCCGGCGCGCAGGTGTCCACCTCGCAGCCCGCCGCCCCGGACCGGACCGGGACTGGGACAGCGCGCCGCCGGGAGTGAGGGAAGCCCGCGTTGCCGCCCGAGGTCCGCCGACCGGACGCCCAGAGGACCCGCGGGACTCGGACGCGGGGCTCTTTTGTTCCGCGGCCGGGCGGGGCGGAGGCACCGGACCAGAATAGCACCGCGAACTCACCTCCCCTTCCAGCTGCACAGGTCGCTGGAGTACTGCGCGCCAGCGCAACCCAGCAGCACAGCCGGCAGCAGCAGCAGCAGAAGCAACCGCGGCAGCGGCGGCGGTGTCGGCGGCGGGGACGCGCCCGGGGCGGAGGGCCGCGGCCACAGCTGCCCCGCGCGCCCCCCATCCGCGCAAGCCGCGACCAGCATGCTCCGGCGGGGTCCGAGCCCACCCGGCAAACTCTCTACCCAGCAAGGTGGCGGGCGGGCGGGCTCCGCGTGCAGGCTGGTCACGTCGCGAGCTCCCCCAGTCTCCCGCGCGACCGCCCGCCCATCCTGGCCCGCCGCTACCGGCGCAGCTGGAGCCGCGCGCGGAGATGCGCGCCTGCTGCTGTCGCCGGAGACTGAACAGGCGACTCTGAGGCCTCAGGTCCCGGCTCAGCTGGAGGGGCGGGCTCGCCAGGCCCCGCCCCTACCCCGGACGACCCGCCCCTCATGAACCCCGCCCCTCGTCCTTCCTGCTCCCGCCCCGAAGTAGGGGCGCGAACCCTTTGCGGCCGCCGCGTGGGCAGCCTCTCTGGCCGCTGCGCGGGAGACGTGTAGACAGGCCGGGGCATTGCCAAGAGCAGGAGAGAGGGCGCACACCGAGGGTGGAGACCCTGCCCGCCCTGGATGGCCTTGAACTGTGGTGGGGCTTGGTTTGTGCTCTGTGCAGGCTCTCAGCCCATAGATGGGCCAATAGGCCCCGCTTTGGCTGGGCATCGCTGCAGAGTGCAGTGGGTTTGCAGGAAGTCCTAGGCATTCAGTCCCTGAGGCCATGGCTCCCAGGGTCCTGTGGCCACCATCAGCCTGCTCCCCACCCCATCCGGCTTGGTGTTGCCTCTCCAACCCCGGAGATGAGGTTTGGAGCTGAATAATTATTTGCAGTGGGACGTGGGTATCTTGTGGGAATTTTAGCAGCATTTAGGCCCCTGTTCTAGATGTTAGTAGCAATCCCCCACTCCAGATACTCTAGACTATTCCTAGACGTTGTCACTGCCCAACTTTGGAGTCAGAATTGCTAGAAGCCCATGTTTAGCTGCATGAAACTGGTGAGTAGTATTGTTCCAATATATTCCAACTCCAAGTGGCCACATGGTCACTACCAGCCTGACATGCAGTGGGGCCTGTAAAGGAGCATCTTCCTTGGCCCAGAGCCTTATGCCAGGGGAAGTGCTGAGGTGGGGTGCAGCTGGCACCCCCCAGCCCCTGCAGTGCTTAAGGGTGGGTTTGCAGTGAGCACCTTTCCATGATGAGAGAGGCTTAGAAGTTCAGGTTTTTGGGAGTGACTGAAAGATATTTTGGAGGCAGAACTCCTGGGTCTGAATCATGAGTTCACTGTACAGGATAGTGACTGGTACAGGCATGGAGCTGCTCAGGAGAGCTGGGGCAGGAGGAGGGGTCTAGGAGGTAGTTAATGGATCTGGAACTGGACTGTAGCAGGCCAGCCTACCCAACCCAAGAACCAGAGCAGAGGCCCTGCGCAGCACACCAAGTGATGTTCTCTGGACTCAAGGCAATATACCTGTATGTTCAGTGCCTGGAGACTACCAAACCACCTTGTAGCTTGGCCCAGTTCTGTCATTGTAGGTACTGAGCTGCAGAAGGGCCGGGAGACCAGAAGTAGCGCCACCAGCCTACACTACCAATGGCACATCTGTAAAATGCAGCCACTTTCTGTGTCAGCAGCATTTCCTTCCCAGTGCTCTGCAGGGCTAAAGAAGCCATTTGCACACCACCCACCAGGCCCCATCCACCCTGGAAGGGCCACAGGACTTATCAGAGTCCAGAACATCTCTCCATGGGTGGAGGCAGCTTCCAATGCTGACATCAAATGCTAATGATCTGAATGACCTGCACAAGGTCATGGGACCCTTAGCTGTTGCTAGACTACCCAGGCTACTGCAACCCTGCACACAGAGGGCTGTCTGGAAATTAGGATGGTAACATGGGGACAGAAGGCCTATGCACTTGTCAGAACCCACTGCTACTCAGCTGGAATGTAGACTTTGGCCTTTATAATGTAGCTACCTTGGTTCACTGATCATAAGATTTATATAGGCAATATGTTAACCACAGGGAAGTGGGTTAGAGGAAGGATGAGGGAATTCTCTCTACTACTTGATTGATTTTTCTATAAATCTAAAAATTAAGTCTACTAATTTGAAAAACTATGTCAAGAATGAGTATTTGCCTAGCAGGGTTCATAGACTATTGGGAAGGAATTTGTCCCTGCCTTCTAGGACACAGGACCTTCAGGAGGGTCCCTGAAGCAGGAATTCCCAGATCCCAGTCTTCCTCACCCATGGACCAGCTTAGGGTGATGGCCTAGCAGAACTGGTTCCCAGGCTATCACTGTGAACCCATAGGGTCATGGCCAGTCTCTGTCAGACACTCTCTGGGAAGTTCTTCAAGGAAAGGGCTCTGTCTGTGCTGTTCCACGATGGAGCTCCCTTCCAGGGAGCCTCTCACAAGATGAATCCATGAGAGGCTCAGTAGTTCCCCTCCTGCTCCCATGGCAGGAAGAGCCAGCTCCTCAGTGGTCCCCACAGTGTCTGCAAAAGGCTTAGGGACATCCTCAGCATCCCAGGATATCAGATGAGCTAATCAAGGAGTCTAGAACCCACCAGAATCACCCTGTACTGGGGAGTCTAAGGGTCTTTTTTTTTTTTTTTTTTTTTTTTGTATTTTAGGGAAGAGTCTACAGGGTATTCAGGGTCTTACTACTAGATTGGACTCATAGTGATCCGCCTGTTTACATCCTCCCAAGAGCTGGGATTACAGGCAGTGTGCCACTAAGCCCAGTCTCAATTGCTGTCTCAGCATGCCCCAGGGGTGGAGCTGGCATGGCAGGCCCAGGGATCGAATCCCTGGCCCCTGCACCTGCTTGCAGGCACTTTAATCTGCTGAGCTATTTGGCCAGCCCTAGTCTGGGGGTCTTGAGGGCCCCACTATTTCCTTATTCTTGATGATGACAACTAAGAGGACAGGCCATTGCTGTCCTGCTTGAGCCCTGTTAGTAGGTTCCAGTGTCAGCAGGCCCTATAGCACTCACTTAGAGTGGCCTATGGGTACCTGCACTCAGTCCTCCCTTAGGCTGCAGAGTAAGTCTCCTAACCTGGAGCTAGGTGGCCAAGGAAAAGGGGTCCATGGTCCATGTGGATGAGGGCAGTCTGAGCTCTCACTTTTTTCTCACCCATCTACTTGCCTCCTTGACAAGTGTCCCTCATAAGCACTCTGGGCAACTTGGTACCTCATCAGGTCGTAGGCCTCTCCTGTCCAGGGACCAGGGTGTTGTGACATCTGCTGTTCAGCTGTGTGTGCACTTTTGGGGCCCTTCTATCACCAGGACTCCCTGGCAGTGGGCAGTGGACTGGAGGCCTCCCTCAATACGTTCTGAGTATTTTGGTCCACATAGGCCCTGGGGCAGCGAATGGCTGAGGCTTGGGCAGTTCACAGGGGAGAGGGCTGCGTGTGGGGGGTGTTATAAACCCCTTATACCTCTTTCTAGTGACACAGGGTTGCTGGTGTCACATGTGACTTACCTCCAGTGGGAGCTGATGACAGAAGTCTCTCCCTTAGTGGAGAGCAGCATCGTGAGCTCCTCCACCATGCCCAGAGAGCAGTGCAGGGGCCACAGACAGCCCAACAGATCGAATGCCTGTAGTTTTGAGCTTCTGCATATGACATCTGGCTGTTGCTATACAAAGTGCCAGTACCATGAAGCCACTTCCTGGAGGTCTCCATCTTCCCCAGAAACTGAAAACTCAAAGAACATTCCTGTTTCCCCTGAACACAACTGGGGATCTTTGCTCAGCATGAAGCCAGTCAATGCTCTTGCTCTGGCTCTTGGCATTCTCTGGAGAACACCCATGCCCACTACCCTCACCCTCTGAGTCACCCTGCCACCCAGCCCCCAGCCCCCCCTCACTGCTGACCTTCTCATAGGGACATAATTATCGTAACTGTGGTCAAATGATGCTTTGAGAGCCAACGCTTCTAATTTAATGTTTGGCAACTGCCGTGTGCAACATGTAATTATGATATGACACATCCCAGGAGGCCCTGCCTGCCTCAACCCAGTAACCCTCAGCATGGAATCTCCACCTTCCTCCTCCCCAATCTAATGTGCTAGCAGGTTTTGGTGTCAGGGAAGAGTAGGAGGAAGACAGCTGCCACCAGTGTGGCTGGGGCTGAGTGGCTGCCTCAAGGGGGTTGAGTGTGGGCTTGGGCCTCAAAGACCCAGATTGGAATCCAGACAGATTCTGGCAGGTGTGTGACCTTGTGGGTGCCCCACTGGCAGCTCAGCTCTCCTGGTATTGTTACCCCCTTCGTCATCACTGTTGTTTACAACAGCTGCTAAATCAACCTCAGGCTGGGCAGCGCCTCACCCTCTTGCTGTCCCTAGGTCAGGAAGCCGTAGTGACCTGACCAGTTACTACACATCTCTTAAGACACCTCCCAACAGGGAAGGGGGCAGTCTGGGGGGTGGGGAAAGGAGCTGACCACATTGGAAGGTGAACTTGTCCTGAAGATGACAGCTGGAAGTTCCAGTGGAGTCTAGACATGGCCAGTGAGATGCACCCAGGTGCTGAGACTGTGCGAGCAGCAAGTGCTAAGCCATCCATGTGCCTGGCTAGGCTGGGCACTGGCATCTCTCCTGCCAGCAGCTCCAAGGGGACACTGGCAAATCTGGGGCCCAGGAAATTCCTCTCTGGCCAGGAGAAGGAATAGTGAAAGAACAGATGAACATAGGAGCTGGACTGGAGGGCCAAGGGCATGACCCAGCCCACTGGAACCTGTACAGAGCTCACAGTAGGTGCCAGGCCCTGGTGAAGCTGAGGACATTAGCCAAAGAGGAAGACACAGAGAATTGAGCACAGATGGAAATATGGTGGGGCCACTGGATGACAGAGGTTGAAATAAGAAGTGATGAAGTCTGGCCAGTCGGCCTCTACATACATACAGCAGGTCTATGGTCTCCTAGAACCAGAGGGTCCCAGCCCCCTCAACCGAGAAGAGACACACAGCAAATATGTCCGAAGAAGTCAGCTTCCCAGTGTCTTAGAGAAGACAGGTGTCCCCCCCAGTGCCAGGTTGGGCCATGAAACCTCAGAACCTGAAAGCTTTTGCTGTAACTCACCAGTGTAGAGGGCTACATATCTGTTTTATGCACATACACAATTCCGAGTCCTTCTACACGGGGCTTGCAGAAGTCATGACACTTCTGCTCTAAACACTGAGCAGAAGCCCTATCCACTAAACTATGCTGCCCTGGTGCTGTGGACAGCCAAGAAGCCACACAAGGAATCAGCATGCCTCAGCACAGCAAAGTGTGCGCCAGAGTGACATTGTGGCTTCATATGAGGGTCTGG